TAATTTAATTCAATTTAAATATTATGGCCATATATAAATTTCTTGATATGTCCAACAAAATTTCAATGGACTATACTAATTTAATTGTATATGGGAATTATGTTGAATTTGTTCAACTAAAGTTACAACATTGTTATATGGTTTGTCACAAAAATGCCCCAATTCTACTTCTTTGGCTATTAAATCACAACTTTTACTTCCTGTCAATTGAATACATCAATTGAATACATCGACTTTTACTTCTGATTTTGGTAGTCGGCCCCACCTTTTGTGTTGCCGCTCTCTCGTGACGCTGATTCATCGCCTGGACTCTTCTTGGACCAGGGCCTGATCTTTTTGTGTTATTTACTGTGTTGTTTTCTTTTTCCTTTTCTCTTGTTTGTTTTCGGTTTGTTAGCTTGTTGTATCTTGGACTTTGGACATTGGACTTATAGACTTGTGACTATTCAGCCCATTTAGGGCCTTTGTTATATAAAGGTTGAGGTCCAGCCTTAACCTCCACCCTACAAGGGTGTTGTTTGTTAAAAAAAAAAAGTGTTTGGCAATACGAAAGACGCCTATAACTTCTGTTGATAGAAAGATGGTGTGACAATTTGTTTATCATACGTCGTGTAGCTTTTGCATAAAGGTCCAAATCAGCCCCTATATGCTATATCTCTTTAAAAATTCGATTTCTCCTAAAAAAATCCCAAAATTTCCTCCCAAGTTCCCCTAATAACCATAGATCATTTTATTTTGAAGAAGATTTGATAAAATGTTTACTTTCGAATGAAAATCCAAGGAGAATGACTTCATTCAACCGAAGTGCGATTGAAGATGGCCTGATATCAGCCTGTTTCCGTGAGTCGAAGTTGATGTCTTCTCGTAAACTAAGGATCTCAAACCATGCCATCTATTTTGACATTTCCGCATACTACATAATATTTTCTTATGCTTCTAGATTCTAGATTTCAGGTTTTCAGTCTACACGTTGTGTTTCATTGTTTTCCTATTTATTTATTTATTTTTTTATGTAATTTTAGATTTTAGATATTTCAAGAAAGTACATTGTGGTATGATTTTTATGACAGGTTAATGGATTAATAATTTGTACTTTACAAGGATGACTATAGATACTTTGTCTGGGTTGATCCAAAGCTGCATCCATTTAAGAAGTCATATTTTCTTAAACTGAAGGCTTAGAAGAAATCAGTGAAGGAGCAGTTGAAATGTAAAGATGATAGTGAAAAACGTTGTTTGAGAGGATGAAATATTATCCTACTACTAAGACTAAGATTAGGGCTAGTAGATTGAAGAAGGTGAACTATTGTATGTGAAATCCAAAGTTAATGAGTTGGTGAAAAACTACATCCCTTGTCCAAGAGAATTAGTTTCAGGAAAAAAAGTTAGTGTGATTGGTTTGTTCATTGTTGTTTTGTTCTTTTTTTTTTTCAATAACGATCCGCGGGATGGATCGCCTCGTCGGTGTGTTCCAGCAAGCGCCTGACGCGCGACGCAACCCGCGCGACCCGACCAGCTTCTGACTGCATCCCAGAGACTGACAATCAACTGAGAAGGCCTAATCCGACTGCCCAACAGGCTCTGCGGTTAGAATTTTAAACCGTAAGTCCTAATCTTAACTATAGATACTTCTGGTTTAAAATTTAATTCGTTAAGTTCGGATATGCATATCGATGACGTTCTCATAGAATCCAACAACCTCTTTCTCCTCTAAGACCTCAACCTTCTTGTTATGCAAGGCGTTTTGCAGTTCGTCTCATGATCTCCCTAGCTTTTGGATTACAACAGGGGCGATTCTTCGTGATGACAACATTCGCAGCCTCGAGCTCTTTCTTCTTAGCCAGGTATTTCTCCCCCACTGAGTCGATATTGGAGTGGGGAGAAGAGGTTCCTTCTTCGAGGAGAGGAAGGGAAGCTAAGAGAAACTACAAAAACGAACACAAATCAGATTGCAATTCTTTATTAGCGCCCCAAAGGAGTAGGAAAAAGAGGAGTTTCCCCGTCTAAAGCTCGTGCAGCGTAGCAATTACGCTCATACATAGTGCCATCAAAGTGACTTGTGTCCTTGACAGGGAGAGTGATGGAGACGAGCTCGCAATAGCTTTTCTGAACAAATACGATCGGCTCTGGGTCTAGTTTATTTGTTTCTTATTATATTTTCCTTTTAGTGCATTTTTATTTCCTTGGATATTTAATTAGTAGGTAAATAATTATCTTAGTAGTCAAGATATGTTAGGACTCTTGTTACTTTTATCTGGCTTGGGGAAATAGAACGGGATAGTTTTGGATGAATAATATTTTTGCGTTGTGAACTTTTGAGAGAGAGTATCTCATATTCTTCCCGTTCATATCACGTTCTACATCAGTTGGTATCCAGAGACCAGCGACGATCCATGATGCCCCCCAAGAGAGGTAATACCATAAACAATAACACCATTGACGATCGTTTCCAGCAAATGGAGGATCGATTTCAAGGGATGGACGACCAATTTACGAGCCTATCGACGAGGATCGAGGAATTGCACCAGGCAATGAGTACCATGATGGAGGTAGCTCGTGCAAGACGCGACGGCAGTGACCGGGCCGTGCACGGTGGGTTTTGCGGAGGTCGTGTGGGACGCGGCTATGGCGGGGCGCCCCGCCGGCGTTCACTAGGGACACCGTCCGGCGATGAGGAAGATGAAGACACCGCCAGCGAGGTTAATCTATTCGCTGGAGGACAGCGATGGCGGCCGGCGGTTGACGACGTCTTCCGGCAGAGGGATTACGGTAGAGGACGTGTTCCTCGCAGCTTTGGCAGCGGCGATAACAGACACCGTGAGGGACGTTTTGCGCGGGGCTGAGCAGACGCGGACGATGACGGCGATTGGTGGCCTGTTGGTCTAGGGTTTGACGACGGCGGACCTCATTTCGATGATGGGAAGCGGGACTTCGACCAGCAGGGACAAGCTGAGTTCCATGTTCGTGACGGATAAGAGCGAGTGGTGCCGACTCGACGTGATGGCAGACGCCCGATGGAAGGGGGCGATGACTCACGTTGGGAGCAAGGGTTTCGTGTTGATATTTCCGAGTTTGACGGCGGAGTGGACGGATCAGAATTTATTGATTGGTGGGCTTCGGTTGAGGCCGCCCTCGCTTTTAAGGAGGTCCCGGAAGGGAGGCGTGTCGCTTTAGTCGCCACACGTTTTTGGGGTCGAGCGAAAGTATGGTAGATGCAACTCACCAGCTTGCGGCATCGCCAAGGGAAACCGCCACTATCATCGTGGATGAAATTCCGAGAGTATGTAGAGCGTGAGTTTGTTCCTTACAACTACAATAGCCTTGTTTATCAGCAGCTGGAAAATCTACGTCAAGAGACACACTCGGTAAAGGAGTATACGACGGAGTTCCATCGGCTTTTGACTCTTGTTGACTTACGTGAGACAAAAAATCAGCTAGTTTCTCGGTATGTAGGTGGGTTACGTACGGGGATTTGCGATATGTTGAATATGTTTCGACCGGATTCGGTGTCGGATGCTCACCAACGAGTCCTCCTCGTTGAGATTCAGTTGGGACAGAAAGCGGGACTTCATCTTCACGTCCGGGAGCGGCACTGGGAACAGGCCTGCAAGCCGCGCGTTCGGGACCAACGGCGAGTGGCGGGTTTGGCCTCGGCACAGCCGCCGGTCGTACTCCAGCATCCGGTGGAGGGGTTCTATGCTTTGGGTGCGGTGAGCTTGGCCATCGGCAGGCGGCTTGTCCAAAATGGGCCGAGTCACGTGCTTTGTTCGTCGAGAAAACAGCAGAATATTCGGCAGCCGCAGTATATGATGGCCCTCTTATTTTTTACAAGGAGCCGGAGGTTCCTGAGGTGCATGTCTCGGGGGACTTAGGACATGCGCTAGTCCTTCGACGGTCTCTCTCGTCACCGCACATCGAGTCCATTGACGAGGGCCAATGTCAAAAACTTTTTGAATCTACGTGCACCATAGGCGGTCGGGTGTGTCGTTTTGTTATTGATTCTGGGTCCTGCGAAAATGTGATCTCTACAGAGGTTGTGGCGAAGCTTGGGTTGTCGACAGAGCATCATCCAGATCCTTATGCTCTCTCATGGATACAGCGTGACAACGCTGTCCTTGTTGACCGACGAGTGTTGGTGTCTTTCTCTATTGGTTCTGCATATAAGGATGAGGTGTGGTGTGATGTCGTGCCGATGGATGATTGGCACCTTCTCTTAGGGCGTCCTTGGCAATTTTATCGCGCCGTGTTGCATAATGGGCGCGTTAACACATATGCGTTCTTGTTTGGAGGCACCCGCTTTGTTTTACATCCCTCTCCCTCTTGTTCAGTTCCTTGGCCACCGCCGTCAACGGGTTTACTCCTTTCTCGCGTAGAGGCATATGAGAAGATGTTCGATTCGTTGGTCGACCGATTCGATGGTGTTTGATGTGGGCGACTTTGCGTGGGTTGTTTCCACAACAGACGGTCGGCTCTACCCCTACGAGATTGTCGAACACCTTAGTCTGGATGCCTACCGTCTCTGTTTGCTGTCGCATGTGTGTTTGCGGGATGTTTTCTATGTGACACAGTTGGCCCCTTTGCAACTTGGCGACTCCGACGGAGACGAGCTCGGTTCGGATTCGAGGACGAATCCTTCTCAACCGGGGGAGGATGATGGAGACGGGCATGCAATAGCTTTTCTAAACAAATACGATCGGCTCCAGGTCTAGTTTATTTGTTTCTTATTATATTTTCCTTTTAGTGCATTTTTATTTCCTTAGATATTTAATTAGCAGGAAAATAATTATCTTGGTAGTCAAGATATGTTAGGACTCTTGTTATTTTTATCTAGCTTGGGGAAACAGAACGGGACAGTTTTGGATGAATAATAATTCTGCGTTGTGAACTTTTGTGAGAGAGTATCTCATATTCTTCCCGTTCGTATCACGTTGTACATCAGAGAGCCAAGCGTAGGAGGTCGCAATCTCGTGTGCGTCGATATTGCAGAAGAGTTCAGAGAGATGCTCCACAGTAGTCAGTCGAACGACCACAGGAGAAGGACCCTCAGAGGTGTCGACCTTTTCTCCCCTCAGACATTTTGGGGTCAATGAGGAATTTGATGTTTTGAGGGTTAGGAGCTCGCTTCTTTGAGCCAGAGCCTTGAGGACTTGGCTTCCTGTAAGAGGAGTTGGAGACCTCAACGTTGGCTACCAGAGGTTGCGGTTTCTTGGCCTAGCCACCAGGGGCTCAGTAAGAACGACTAGTTGGGGGTCGACTTGAGGAGAGCGATTTGAGAGACCCCCCCTCTGCGGGATTCTTTTTGTTTACCTCAAAGCATTTGAGGTAGGAGTCTGAAAGATGGAGAAAGTTTCAGAAATAACAAAAAACAAACATAAGCATAAGGAAAAACAAAAGACCTACTAAGGTTGAGCACAAAAGGAGCCTCACGCTCATAAGTCAGACCACACTGATGTCGCAAATTGGGATCACTATCCATTTGGCGAGCACTCTAGGTTGCACGAAGTATCCTGATGGAGGTCGCACGAAGAACTTGGATTTCCATGAGGTAATATTCAAGGAGAGGTCGTCAAAGAATTGAGCTCCACTATGACGTCCTAAGTAGTGGGTGCCCTTTTCGAACTTGTAACCATAACAATAAAAACATAGCTCGGAAGAGAACTCACGGAGCCTTACTTTTGAGATCATTATAATGGAGACTATGATACATAGGGCATTAGGGGCAAATTGGTTAAGAGGAATATTGTACAAGTTGCTAAGGGTTAAAAGCTCATATTTAAGAGGAGAAGTAAGACTGAAGAGCACTTGGTCGATAAAACAAGTATAACAACCTCAAGGAGGGTTGGAATACGTATCATTTGGATGATGAACAAACAACTCCCAATTGGATTAGAGCTCGCAAAAAGTTAGAAAATCATCAACCACCGCTGCAGGAGCATAGCAAATGAGATTTAGTGGCGCTATTTTGGCTAAAAGACTTGTTAATGTTACAACAGGACAAATCAGGTCGGGTATTGGAGCAATTATTGGTATAGAAAGAGGGTAACTGTATGTATATGAAAATCTAATACATGAATAGAAATACCGCGAGGAAAGAGCTCGAGATCTTTAGGAGTTTCCTCATGAAAGCTTGGAGACTATAAAGTTCGCTCATATTCTTCCTAGTCGACCTCCTCAGTAGAATCATCAACTGGCCCTCTAGAAAGGCCAGGTTAGTCAACTTCAACAAGCTCGTGACCCACTATTTGAATAGATGAGTCAAAATCCCCGTTGACCATGCGACTAATAGAATCATGTGAAGGTGATGTATCTAAATTCATTTTAAAATAGGCCGAAGTGTGTGGACTGAAAATGTTCTACGTATGGAGAGCTCGACCGGAGTGGAGAGCGACCTATCAAAAAGACCTAGAGGTCATGAAGCCTGGCCACTAAAACCTTTTCCCTCAAAAACCTTGAAACGAGCTACTTTAGGATCTCCGAACGACCTAAGGATCCTTAGAGGACTTGAAGTAAACTAGACGACTTGATCCCCTAGGGAGTTCAAGGTTGCTCGACCTTGATGGTCGAGCTATGTAACAAATGACCTAAAGAAATGGTCACGACCTAGCAAGCATTGCCAACTGTATTAAGGATAAGAAGGAATCTTAGAAGAATAAGATGAAATATGTAAGGGTGACTATGAGATGATTATGGATAAACACAAAGTAGATAAGATCAAGTATGGGCAGGCTGCCCGCGGGCAGTCGGACAGATTATTTCGGACAAGTATTTCTTTATAAAAGCGACTGAGGTACACCCAAACCCTACTTTACAGTCTAGGCACATTACATACAACTCTTGATTACAAAACATCACCATCTTCTTCCATTTGTTAACTTAAACATCAGAAACTCTACGACAAAATCTCCCCAGCGTTGAGTTTTTGTAAGTCTACGCACGACGGTCAGCCATAGCAGAACTGTTCTCAATCCGGTTCTACATAGTAGTGACCCATCAATGTCATTTTACCAATTGTGTTAAGTCGTTGAAAATTAAAAAAAAAATAGAAACTTGATTGTGGATGATGATTCAAAGACAAGTGCAATCCCCATTGGGTCCCAAGTGTTTGTTGGGGATCGTGTTCCAAATTTCTTCTCCTCCTTGGGATGTCCGCAACCATCTCTCTCTTCCTCTCTCCTCCCCAATAAAGAAAAAACACACACACACACAAGATTTCCTAATTTGTATAAATACCCCCAAACATACAATTAACTCTCCCCCAAATTACTATCTTCCCTCTTCCTGCCTCGCTTTCTTCTCCAACATCCTATTTTATATATCTATCTATCTACTTTCTCTCAGACTGACATTAATTATATGTACATAGATGATGAGCGACCTCGACTACCAAAACAAATCATGCACCACGCCCTTAAAGCTGTTCGGGTTCAACATGACCGACGACCAGGACCCGGACGACCCCTCCCTATCGCCGGACTCCGGCAGCGCCGCCCGGAAGTACGAGTGCCAATACTGCTGCCGCGAGTTCGCCAACTCCCAGGCCCTCGGCGGCCACCAGAACGCCCACAAGAAGGAGCGCCAGCAGCTCAAGCGGGCCCAGATGCAGGCCGTCCGCAGCCCCATGGCCTCCGCCTTCGCCCCGCCGCCCCACCTCCTCTCCCCACCTCCCTGGCTCTACATCCCACGCGCCCCCGCGCAGCCGCCCTTCCACAGGCCGGCAGCGGGGGAGCCCATTGGGCCGCAGCAGTCCGTGAAGGCCCAGGCCCACAACGGGATGTTTGATGGGCCCTCCCTCAGCAGGTTTTCCAGAGGGGAGGATGAGGACGGGTTTGGCCTGGATCTGCACCTTAGCTTGGCTCCAGCTGCGCCGTAAGTGTTGTTTTCAGACAGAAGTAACACGAAGCCATATCCACTAATTAATCAACTACTCCCAATTTTGTAAATTTAATTTGTAGTATTAAAATTTTATTTATTTTCTTCCTTGTCTCGAGGTGGAGGGGGAAATGAATTTGATTTGATTATCGTGTGACGTGATTTGTAATTTTCGAAATTAACACTGTCAGATATTAATTGAGTCCAACTTGGATGTTCGTTGACTTCCTGATATGGTAAATTGACTTGATTTCCCATGTGGTAAATGGAAATTATTCCGATTATTTTGATTTTCAAATAATCTTGCGATCGTATGGTCTAGTGGACACAGGTTAATATATCTATAATATAACAAAATATTAGGAAGCCAATAAATGATGGACGCCACGATGAATCACTCTCCTGATTTCCGGATATTGGACACGATTTTGCGTTTGAAATTAACTTGCAAATCTTTATAGAATTGAATTTTGCTCTAAAAACTTGTGTTTGTAATTGCAAAAATGGAACTGCACATAAAGTAGAACTTCCTCCCACCTTTTGTATTTCATACTCCAATGTATGTTTAGTAATATTGTCATCATCATTGTTTAAAGGAAGATTAATTTTCAATTTCTTCTCGTTCTTCTTCTTTTTCCTTTTCCTTTTTTNATAGCCAATAAAATAATACTCCCTTATATTTTTAATAAATGTCGTTTAGGGAAGTTACACAATAATTAAGAATATTTTTTTATCAATAATAACCCTCATTAATGAGGATAGATATTGATGTTTTGAGAAAAGATGGAGAGTGAATATAAAAAGACGTAGTGTATTTATTAATTAGATGAGGACCTTTATCAGCGCCTAGGCACGAAGGAGGGGAAGAAGGACATTTATAGGATGGCTAAGATTCGGGAGAGGAAGACAAGGGACATCAACCAAATCAAATGCATTAAGAATGGGTCGGATCGGCCTCTGGTGAAGGATGGGGAGATCAAGGACAGGTGGTGAGAGTACTTCGACAAATTATTTAATGGAGAGAGTGAGGGTCCTACCCTGGAGTTGGATGACTCATTTGAGGATACCAATAGATGCATGGTGAGAAGAATTCGGGAGGCAGAGATCGGAGAGGCTATGAAGAGGATGAAGGGAGGTAAAGCAATGGGCCCTGATGGTATCCCCATTGAGGTGAGGAGATGCTTGGGCGCCAGAGCGTTAGCATGTCTAATTAAACTTTTTAACCTCATTTTCCGGTCAAACAAGATGCCTGATGAATGGAGGAGAAGTACTTTAGTACTGATGGGTCTACTTCTAGATCTGAAGTAAACCGGTGGTTGTGAGCTCAGATCTGCTTGAACCGCCTTGAAGCCGTTGCTAGACCGCAAGAATACCTGCACAAACTCAACGCCGGAGGTGTTTCCGGCGTAGAGCCTCCGACGCTCAAGTCAGTATCAGAGTGATGAAGAGAGGCTGCGCAACAGCTATGGGGGAGAGTGGGAATGAATGAGAGTTAGGGTTTTTAGGGTTACCTCACCTCCTTTATATAGGAGTGAATATTTACCTGGAGTACCCAGAATGCCCAAGTCGGTGGACCTAGAAGGTCCAAAATGCCCCGGTCGATTCGTCTCTCCTTATTGCTGAGTCATCACAAGATTCCTTCTTACCCTTTGTGGTATGTGGAACTTCAAGTATGTTGCAAGTGTGATGAGTCGTCATCACATCTTTGTTATTCGAGGTATGCGAGGTCGACTTCGAGAGCTAGGAGGTTGACTCGTGGATATGTGAGGATTCGGAGGCTACGCCTGACTAATCCTTTGTGGCGAGGTCATCTTGGTTCAGTCGACTGTCGGAAGTCGACTTAGGGTATCGCGACGCTTGGGCGCTGTACTCTTGCTGTTACTCTTTCATTGGTGCCGACTAGTGAAAGTCGATGGCTTAAAGTCGACTTGCAAGAGTCGACTAGAACAATTTCTGCTTCTTCTTGATTGCTCTTGGCAGAACCGACCTTAGGGAAGTCGATTTGGGCATGTCGACGGAGTCATGTCGACTGCGGGTAGTTTAAGTGGTTCACTGGTTAAGCAAGAAGCTTCTGGATCGGGTTATCCTTATGTGGCTATATCAAGTACCGATCTTCATGAACAAGGGAGATGTTCTAAGTTAAGAGTAAATTTGGTGAAGTATAATTGTGTCGCCTTCCTACCAATCTCGCTCGTATTGGCCTTTTTTGCAACTCGTCTCGTCAATCAATTGGGACGCATCTCAAGCTCATGATTGCCTTTTCGGATAAGTCTGACACTCTGACGGACCTATTTCAAATTTCAAATTTTTGAAAACCCTAAAGTGACGCGCGTCATCTCCTTCGCCTCCTCTTCGAATTCCGCGCCTCATCAGGATCGTTGGTTCTCTTGGTGATCCGACGGTTCACGCCCAACATTGTCTTATATAAATATACCTCCATTTCTTAGGAAATCACTTTTCGCATTCCCGAACCTTCTTGCTCTCTCAAACTTCCTCAAGCATCTCCGGCGGTCTTTGCTCTTCGGCTTCACCGGCACTCCTCTTTTCCGGCATCTTCAGGCTTACCTGCAGTTCCAATCAACCACGCCATCATGTGTAAGTTCTCTATCCCCCCTTAATCCTTCAATTCTTTGTTGATTTTTCCTTTTCTGATTTCGTCTGGGTTCCCAGAATTTTCGAAGTTCATGCGTGTTCTTCATATTTTTCATGAATTTCTTATGGGTTTCACACTTAGATCTCTTTACGCGTATACTCTGTTAGAATTTGTTGTTTTTTACCAGTAGTCGACTGTCGATATGCAGTCGACTTTCACCTGTTACTAAGTCGGCTCTTGTCGACTTAGTGGTCTTCTTTCTTCAATTTTTCTCTTCTCGAGTCGACTAAGGTCGACTTACTGTTTATTTAAGTCGACATATAGATAGTGATTGCCTCTTCTTTGTTCTTTTTTCCTCTGTCGATTATTGCGAGTCGCTCTGATTCGATCTTGTAGGCCCTTACTCGTGATTTTACTAACTTCGACCTTCTCCTCCTTTTTCTTTCCTTAGCTTCCGACTCGTCTCCTCTTTCTGGCTCCCTTGGCCAGCAGATCAATGATTATACTTGTTCAGCCGACGAGGGTTCTAGCTCTGATTGTGTCGAGATAACCGGTTATAAGATGGTTTTACTGCCTTCCCATTCTTCTCCCCCTCTCGCCACTGCTTCTTCTGTTGACTGGGAGCTGCACGACCAAGCGCTCTTGGAGGGCGGCTTAGTCGATATCGTGAAAAGCCCTCCTCGAGGAAATCTTCCTCGTCTCCATATCATTCCTCGAGGTATTCCTCTTAGGTTCTTAGATATCCCTGTATATAGAACGAGCCCTGTATCTGTACCAATAATTGCTCCCCTTCTCGACTTTCAAAATGTTGTATCGATAGCTTGTCCCTTGGCTAGGTTAGCTGTTCTAAATCCATTTTGTTATGCCTCTGCAGCCGAAGTCGAGGGCTTCAGGAAGTTCAGTGGGCTTCCCTCAGATTGGGAGTTAGTCGCCCCCGGTCTTAACGACGATTTCGCCCATCCTCCCCCCGGTTGTCATACGTTCTTTGTAGACCAAATCGTCTTTGGCCTTCGCTTTCCTATTCAAGACGAGCTCATACTAATAAGCAATTTGTACAATATACCCATAAATCAGTTTTCTCCTAACGCCATTCGCATTATGATAGCCTTCATAGTCGTTTCCCGTATAAAACTCAATTTCTTTTCTCCCGACTTTTTCTTTTATTGTTATGGTTACCGGCTTTCCAAAGGCGCCCACTGTTTGGGTCGTCGCGCTAGTGTTACCTTTCTCGACGATCTTTCATCGAACGTCACCGAGTGGAAGTCGAAGTTTGTTTTCATTCGACCTGCTTCGGGCATGTACCCTTATGTAAATACTTGGATTACTTCAAAGGTGAAGCAGAATAAAAGGCCTCGCTCTGACGAGTTTGCCCAGCTGTTGTCCGAGCTGAATAAGCACACTGTAGAAATCAAAGACCGTGATTTGGTCAATCACGCGCGAATCGTCATTTACGAGGATCTCCCTCGTCTCGATGATCCTCGTAAGCTTTTTACCTATTTTTGCTGGGTAGACTTCACGTTTTAGTTACTCATATTGTATTTACTAACTGTTTTGTCCGACAGCTAATTTCCCCTTGTTGTATTTCAGTTAAGGCGCTCAAACGCTTCGAGCTGAAGAAACAATCGGCTGAGAAGCCGGTGGGTGGTTCTGTTCCACCTCCTTCCCGACCCGCTGGTGCGGCAGTCGAGCCGGCTGCTGCGAAGAAATCCAGGGTCGAGAACCCTGGTGCCGCCCTCAACAAACCCTCTGGCTCCAGCTCTCGCAAGAGGGCGCAAGATGACCGGGCCGTCGTCCTGATCCCGGACGACCTGAAACGTCGCAAGGTCGACAAAGGGAAGGGGAAGGCGGTCGAGAAGCCCGCCAAAGCCCCGGTCACCGTCCAAGACGTGACGGTCAAGATGCCGTCTCGCCTCTGGAACCACCCCGAGCCTTATCAGGTGGCTCAATACCTCAACTCCACCATCCCCGAAGTCGACAAGGAGCGTGTCGAGGGGAACCTCTATGAGCGTTCAAATTATGCAGTCCTGTGCCTTTCTCGGGTATTCTTCCTATCTTCTAATCGGCTTTTCTTCTGTATGTTTTCTTTTAAACTTGGTCCATCTAATCTCATTTTTTCCTTATGCCTTTTCGCAGTTTCTGGCCGCGGCGCTCCCATGCTTCGAGGAGACGAGCAAGGCTCCCCTCGCCTCCACCAAGTCCCTCGAGGACCAATGTGAGGCTCAGCGCCAGGAAATCGAGGCGCTGAAGGAGGACTTGGAGGCCTCGAAGGCTCTTGTCGACAAGTTGAAGGCCGACAAGGCTGTGTTCCGACATTTAAATGATAAGCTCAAAGCCGACCTCGACAAGGCTCGAAACGAAGCCGTGGTCGAGAGGGAGAACGGCGTCGAGGCGGGGCGCAGGACGTTTTT